CTCAGTAGATTTTTGCTATTGCTGTTATTCCAGGGCTAGGGTCAGTCCCAACATACGGCTTGTTCAGAATGCTGAGTTATCACATTCTCATTTTAGTAGGACATATTCCATAGTGTGTGTGTGTGTGTGTGTGTGTGTGTGTGTGTGTGTGTGTGTGTGTGTGTGTAATTCAGGAAAAAAAACCTCATCATTTATCTCATCTTATTTTTATGATTCCTTCTATAATCAGATGAGCCTTGACCAGTGGCCAGAACAACATTCTCTACAGGATGTCACAACACCTGTTTAAAAGCAGATGCACAATGTGCTGCCATTTCCAGGAGCAGACAAATGGCAATTCACCGAGTCCAGAGTGGAATGTGGCCAGCATAGCTTCTACCATCACATTTGCCAACCTTCAAACACTTTGCAAAATAAATTCTAAGCAGCTCAGTAATGCAAATAATTCAGGAAGAATCTGTGCTCCAAAACCACATATGCACACAAGGAAAGAGCAGCCTCAGCTGAACTTCATTTTCCTTCACTAGAGTAGCATTTAGTCCAGATCTCATCTCCGAATAACACAGGCATAAGCTAGCACATCTCCTGGACTGTGATGGTTTTTAACTGTTCATCCAGTTCCAATGATGACTGCCTCTTCAATATCACAGCTTGTACCTTGTTTAGGAGTTTAGAAATAAAGCAAATGAACATATCAGAAAGTGTGTGTTCAACATCAGTAACAACAACAAAACACACCCACGGTTTGCATCATTCTGATATTTATCATTTATTAACAAGGAGCTGGGGTGGTGAATAAGCTCCATGACACTATCAAAGACCAAAGATCCTTTCAACTTCCCACTCCACTATCCTCAGGGTATTGACGTGCATCTCAAAGCATGTAGCTCATGGCAGCAAAGGGATGTTCATCCTCCACAGCACCTTTAAATGCTCGTGTTCAAGCACATTTTTTCATTTTTAATCAGAGATCTTAAAAAACTTCCCCAGGTCCTTTGGCTCCTCCATCACCCTCTTCTAGGAGACATTGCCATGCATCTCAGTGTCCTGGGACACTCACTTCCTTTAAGTTTCATCACTGGTGAAGAAAAAGAACTGTCACGATTGGATTAGCTCCACCATGATGATGACTCCATTTATACCAGGCTTACCATCTCTCAACAGGATCGGAGTCCTGACTTTAAGAAAGGGGAATCTAGTGGATGTGGAATAGGCAACACACTTATTTTACACCACACTCTACAACCCACAAACACCTGGTTATAGTGGAGAAAGGCCTAGCCCTAGGGGAATAAATACCAAGTCCAAACTGTGCTGTCTTTGAATGTGGATGATTGTGCTGGCTAGGTTTTGTTTTGTCAAATTGACAGAAACTATGGTCATCTGGGAAGAAGGAGTCTTAATTGATAAAATGTCTCCATCAGCTTAGCCTGTAGGCATTTTCTTGATTAATGGTTGATGTGGGAGGGCCCAGCCCACCGCAGGCCATGGCATTCCTAGGCAGGTGATCCTAAGTTGTATAAGAAAGCAGACTGAGCGAACCCTAAAAGGGAGCCAGTAAGCAGCACTCCTCCATGGCCTTTGCATCAGCTCCTGCCTCCACGATCCCCTGTCATGATGCACTGTAGGCTGTAAGATGAAATAAAGGCTTTCTACCTCAAGTTGCTTTTGTACATGAAAACTATGGCAATGACTAAATTCAGTGTGTTTGGAACATGTAAGGGTGATTTTCCTTTTTTCTTTCTAATGGTTCATATTTACATTCTACAGTAGCTCAGCATTATTCTCATAATTAAGGAAAAGGCTTAAGAATAAAAGCACTTATAAGCTCCATTACCTACCAGAGAAACCAAAGGACAAATATCTTAATTGCCAAAAATTGCTCTGAATCCCCTGAGAAATGAATCTGAATGGAAAAAGAACTTGATGCCCTCGGCAAGGCCCCTCGCTATCACCAATACCTGCTTGAGAAAGCAGGTTCTTAGCTCCTAGGCCCCCTTCATCAGTATCCTGGGAGACTGTGGAAAAGCCGTAAGCTTAAGTGTTCAAGTTTGTAGCCACTTGCTTGATAGCAGTATCCTTAGAGAATAATTCCTGCTGTAATTTTTATTAAAAGTAATCAATTACCATTTCTCTGAACAGCAAAGCCCTAGATGGGTTTATTACCAGAACGGAATCATATGAGGCTAGATACCACAAAAATTCCTTGGAACTGTTTATTGGGGTTCCACTTCTGACCTCTGGCCCTGAAATCCTAAACTCAGCCTGAGGAGGATCTTGTGATGTGTCAGGTTCCTTGTGTTGTGGAAGGGGAGGTGGTAGAAAAGAGAGAGAACGTCCATGGGCCTCTACTATCACTATGGGTGTTTTGTTCATGCCAAATGACACTGAATCCTCTCAAGAGACAATAGCTGAGTATCTGTTGCCTTTATAAAAGATAATTCTGAAATAATGCCAAAATCTTTGTTCTGCAAGGCAAAGCACAGAATAAATACAAGATATTGATCATTTATTCACCAACTAAAACATATGATGTATGATATATTATCTAGAATATAGTAATACACCATCAGTAATAGTAAAAACAATTTCATTTATTTAGTTTGATATAACTTTTCAAAATTTGTTCTAAGAGCTTTACATAATTTATCATATTTAATCTTCACAGCAGCTCTGTAGAAATGGAAATTATTACCATTATTTTACCAATGAAGAAAGAATTTATAATTTTTCAATATTACAGGTCAGGATGTAGCTAAACTAAGTTTTGTAATTGTCCCAAATTCCAGGTTCCATGCACTTCCTTCCTGCTGCACCATATCAAACCATCTAGGGAAGGAGGCAGAGTGATATTCAGGTGCTGGAGCAGAAGGGAATTTCAAAGTGTGGAAAGAGAAAATTCATACAAAAGACCCAGACCATCGAAGCAATCTTGACTGAGAACAAAGCTGGAGACATCACAATATTTAATCTCAAAACACACCCTGAGGCCATAGGACCCCCAAAAGCATGAAACTGGCATAAGAGCTGACTCACAGATCAAAGAAACAGAATAAAGATTCCAGAAACAAACCTATGCACCTATTCAACTGGTTTAGCAAAAACTGCTAAAAACGCGCTGAAGAAAAGTCACTCTCTTCAGTAAATGGGAAAACTGGCTACTCAATACACAGAATTAAAAATTGATTCCTATACAGAGACCAACATAAGGTGAATCAAACACCCGATATTATAAAATTACCTGGAGAAAACAGAAGAAATAGTCCAAGACAGCAGTATAAGCAAGTATTTCTTAAGCAAATTCCAGAAGTACAGGAAACAAGCAAACAAAAATATAGGCCAACAGAATTTATTAAACTCTGTTGTGCACAGCAAAGAATGCAATCAGCCGAGATTAGAGTCGACCCATGTAATGAAAAAAAAAATGTGTAAACTATTCTATTGCCTAATATCTGGAATATAAAAGGGCCCAAAGATCTTAGCAGCAACATAATTTACAAATGGGGGGGGTGGTTTTAGTAGACATTCTTAAAAGAAGAAATACAAATGGTGAACAAGTTTATGAAAAATGCTCAAAATCATTACACAGCAGGAGCCACATGACTTCTTCAGGGAATAATGCCTGAGAAGAGCTCAAATGGCTTTTTTTGTGGCAAGGCCCCTGGAGACCCTGACCCACGTGGAAAAGACCTGTGGACAGTTCGCCGCATGATTCTGAGCACGAGCCCAGGGGTGTGTGTACTACAGGCTCCCCTTGCTTTCACCACACTAGCCACACTGCTGGCCTGAATGAGTATTGTGAAGTTTAATATTACATATTTGCACTACTGTTCTGGGAAGAATGAATTTAACCATAAGAGCTTGAAAGAAATGCTATAAAGTAGATGGAGTTATGGGAACATTCTAGGGACAGGGAATAAAGCAGAATCACAGAAACCCACTGTTCCCTCATTTTTAATAGCTGTGCCAATACCCGAAGAAGTTAAGAGAGTAGACATAAGGACAAGGGGCCAGCAAGGCCAAATATTTTCTTTTTTTTCTTTTTCTTTTTCTTTTCTCTGGAGCTGAGGACCGAACCCAGGGCCTTGCGCTTGCTAGGCAAGTGCTCTACCACTGAGCTAAATCCCCAACCCCACAAGGCCAACTATTAAGAGCAAGTTTCCAAGTTATGTTGCCTATAGGATAAATGGGAAACCATGGTATGGCCCCAGAAGGGATAAAGCAGTACAAAACATAGAATTGGATTGATTCAGCTCTGGCTGGTGAGTTGATCACGAGAACCCAGACTCTACCAGATGTAAATATTAACCACAAGAAACAAAACCATCCCTCACTCAACATGACACTGTTACTGCATATGCTTCCAACTGGGCACACTGTCCTACCTGTAGGTGTGCCTGGGTAGAAAACTTCCTTTGTAGCTTGCAACACTGCTTCTGCTCTGACATAGATCCAGGCAGTGGCTACCCATGGGAGAGTTGGGAGACAGAGGGGAAGAGGCAGGGAACAAACTGGCAATTGTTGTAATCGTTTTTAGAAACTTAGGAAGTAAGAACTGGAGTCAAATTGTTCGTACAAACCATTGAAACCGTATAACTAAGGATGGCTCAAGCTATCCAGGGCCACTTGTTTGAACAACAACATGTAGTCACAATCTATTCTTGCTGCCGACTTCACACATCCAGCCCAGGTCATCGAACCCATCTGCAGCAAGGCTACCAGCAATTACAAGTCAGGGAAATGCAAATCAAAACACAATGAGACATCAGTTCACCCCGCATGAAATGGCTGTTAACAGAAAAGACAAAACATGACACTTTCTGGACAAAAATGTGGAGAAAACGGAACGAACTTTTACAAAACACTACTGGTGGGGATGTACAGTCGTTCAGTATGGAACATCATATGGCGGTTTGTTCCCCAAACAATTCCAAGCAGATCCACTAAATGATCCAGCTATCCCATTTGTAGGTATATATCCAAAGGAAATGAAATCAGTATATGAAAGAGATGTTGCATGTGTTTATTCCATCATTGGTCACAACAGCCAAAATTCATACTACATTTGTCAACAAACAAATCAAGAAGATGAACTCTATGTTAGCCCCATGTACTGATTCAGCCATAAAAAAGAATTATCTTTAGTCATCACTGCAAGTATATGGAGCTGGAAGCTATTGCTCTAAAATATTATCATTATTTTACTTTGTCAGACACAGAAAGAGGCATACTGCATGCTTACTCTTACACATAGTAACTAAAAAAAAAAGTCTGTCTGAATATAAAATAATGATTACCACTGGTTACAAGTAGAGGAGAAAGGCTGAATAACAGGAAGCAAAATGATAATGGAAAGAATGAGTTTTAGTACTATACAATACAATGCACTTGTTGACAAACATCTTAATTAGCTGGAAGAGATTAAGCCCAAGCTTTAGGATACAGTTCGGTCGCAGAGTGTTTCCCCATCATCTATAAGGCCCTAGGTTCAATTCCAGTCCTACAAAATTTTGAAGTAAATACAAAACATTGAAAAGGAATTGGAAACACTAATTACTTTGACTTGATTAGTACATGCATACATGGACAAAATTGCCATACTGTATTCCATATAAAAACAACTTTAAAAGAAGAAATGTGAAAGACATTTAAATGAAATTAATGTAGGAAAGGCAAGGAGGCCTGAGGCAGCCTACCATTGTATTCCCCAGAGTTTAAAATAAATAAATAAAACAATCATGTTTCTTACAAGACCAATGTGTATATTAGTTTAGGTTTACCAACATCCCTAATAGTGATAAATTAATGGTACATACTTAAACACACATACTTAACACACACACACACACACACACACACACACACACATGAATATTAGGGACTTAGGACCATTATATTATCTGGAGATGATGGGACAGCAAGCTCCAGGTACTGGATTATGTTTTACACTTACAGTGAGGCTTTTACAGGAAGTCATTTCGTCTCCTTCCCAGACATATCAACTACAGGAGCAAAGCCATGCCACCGGCATGCTGCCTCGTGGCAGTTCAGGAATAAATGTCTTAGACAGTGAAGCAGAGACAAAGCCACCGTTCAGGACCTACGACAATAGAGTTGGGAAGGAAAGCAAGCTGATTGTCATGCTGAGGTGCCAAGACGTCTGTGTTTGCACTCAAAATCTCTTTTCTATGGACTCCTGGTCTGTATGAGAACATCTCCTGGTTGCTTAGAGGGTTCTTCACCAATACAGATTGAATGTTTGATGTATGTCAGTCACACTCTGGCCCTGTGAAGAGAGAAGATTATCAGACCAAGCTGTACCGCTATGCCACATATAAACCTCCCTCTTTCAGAAATACTAAAATATATTTAGGTTTGCATTACTCTGCAGATAAAGTTGATCACAATTCCAAAAGATAAAAGTCACTTTCAACTTCTCTCTACTCCAACCCCAGCCAAGTAAATGCTACTGAAGGTGTTCTGCTATGACATGTAGCTGAAGAAGGTGACAATGTACATGAGACATAAGACAAAAGATCATGAGGTCATGAATTCAAACAATGAAAGAAGCGGGGGAGCAGGATAAGCCAGGCACAGTGGAACACACTTATAACCCCAGTATTCAGGTGTCTGAGGCTGGAGGATCATAAGTTTGAGTCCTACCTGGGAAACATAGTGAGTTCCAGGCCAGCCTGTACAAAGTCAATCACACACAGTCTCAAAAAAAAAGTAAAAATAAGCAAAACAAACAAGCAAGCAAGCAAAACAAATAGAGATAATGTGGGAAGTTCTATTTGGATACGTTATTTGAATAACGTATGATATATCATGCAGAGACATGGAGTGCATGGTGTTCTCATAGAGTTGAGAGGGAGAACAAAATGATAGACCAGAAGTTTCATTTTCACACAGAAATACGAAAAGGTAACTATAAACCAGACACAATAAATTTACAGAACTTCTAGAAAACCATCAAAGTTCTGCAGGCATGAATTAAACAATCAATCAAAAAGATGTGCTTTCCAACCAGGAAGAAATCAGTCGTCAGGTTATCTTTTCTGGCCCTCGTCCTATCCGTGCACTATTATAGTACTGAATCAGCCTGGAAGAGTTAGCATCCCAACTCTCTCATTTGAAGCAAAAGGACTGTGTGGAGTGGATCCCCATCGGAATACGTTTTACCTGACTCAGATCTTACACAAGCAGGTGTACATATAACAGTTATGTATGTATAACAGCAAGCAGACAATAGGTCACAGTTGCTGGAGCTAAGGTATCAGAGATGCAACACAATAGAGCATCTAAGACTGCATGGAGGGTCCAGAGTGAGACGTGGAGGAAGGAAGATGGTTTAAACATAGCCACACAAATGAGGAAAGGGAAAAATGCATACATCAATGAAGGCAAAATACGGGCCCAGAAAACCTTAACAAAGCTTAAGCCCAGTCTGAAGCCAGTCCCTAGGCTCAGAACATGTCCAGCTAATGAATGAAGAACTGCTTTAGCGGCACAGCCAGACTTCCAAGACTGGAAGATCCGTTTTCTTAGCTCTGTTTGTTTTTATTTCGGTAGCAACAAAAATCACAAAGCATACAAAGAAACAGGAAAGCACAGCCAATTAAAATGAATGAAACAAATTGGCAGAAAACGGCTCTACAGATGTACAGGCATAGAATATCCTAAAATATGTTCAAAATTCGAAAGGCCAATGAACACACCACAAAGGGAAATCAGGAAAACTGTGTCAAAATGAAAATAAGAACATGAACTGAAGGGCAGAAGTCATAAAAAAGAACCAAGATATAAAATACAGGAATTGAAACAGTTACTAGAACTTAGAGATAGAATATTTGAAATTTGTTGGGAGGCCTTGATGGTCAGAGGTTGCAGTCTATCATGGCCTGGTAGCTTTTTCCAAAGTTCGGCAACATGGGGACACCCACCCCACCCCACCCCCGCCACCAGCTAGACTTCCTGCTCTCTACCTGCCCTTATCTGGAGAATGTCCCTGGGCCTAGAGAACTGACCTTATCTGAAAGCTGTGTCTAAGCCTGGATGCCTGATTTATCTTTAGCATGACCTTTGGCACAGTGCCCTGCTAAAAAGCCTCCCCTGTTGCACATATGGTAACTAAGACTTGTACTAAGAGCTCTGCTATAGGACCCTGCTACCACATACAAAGCCATATGATAGACCATGCCACTTAGTGCAAACTAGGGTTTGCGCCCAGGTTCCCTAATCCTATATATTTCCTATAGTCTGGAACAAAGCTGAGCTGATTCACTGAAGTGATCTCCCAGAGCACTGTCCCCGTCAGAGCCACAGCCATCTGAACCCTGTCCCCACTTCTGCCCCCTCCATCATCATGGACCAATGCACCAATGATCCCTAGGAAGAAGAGCCATAGAAATTAGTCTGGCGAAGCAGAGAAAAGAAGAAAGAAAACTGAACAGAGCCTATGGGACATAAAGAACACTGTCAATCACACAACCATACATGCTGTGACAGTCTCAGTGGAAGAGAGAGGTAAAGGCAGGAGAAACTATTTTTTAAAATAGTGGTGTAAAATTTCTCAAACTTTAAGCAATATTTTAACTTAAAAACCCAAGAGCTCCTACAAACCCCAAGTGGGATATACTAGAGACACTGGCAACGAGTCCCATTAAAGCAAACTGTTGAAAATCCGTAGAAAGAGAACATTAAATGGTGAGCTAAAAAGCAATTCACCAGTGTCCAAGCGTGCTGGTGCTTGCCTGTAACCACAGCCCTTGGGGAGCAGGGTCAGGAAGCTACAGAGTAACTTCTAGGCCAGCCTGGGCCTCAGGAGACCTTATTTTAAAAACAAACAGAGATGAAGAGATGGCTTCGGGTTAAGAGCATTTGCTGCTCTTCCAAAAGACCCAGGTTCAGTTCCCAGCACCCACATGGTGGCTCACAACCCCCTACAATTCTAGTTTCAGGGGATCCAGTGTCTTCTGATTCTGTGGGCACCATGCACACATTTAGTTCATGGATTTACATGCAGGCAAAATACTCATACACATAAAATAGAATAAATAAAACTAAAATGAGCAAACAAACAAATTAACAGGTAACTCTTCACAAATAATGGATTCACAATAATTTATCAATACATTTCTCATCAGTAACCTTGGAAGCCAGGAGGTGGATAGATGATATTTTGTTGTTTTTTTTAATTTTTGGGTTATTTTTACTTTCTGTTTTGTCTTGGTTTGGGGGGAGTTAGAGATGATATATTTAAACCCATTATCTGAGAATTCTATGTACAACAAAGCAATTGTGTTTTATTAAACTGTAATGGGGTACAAAAAAAAACAAAAATGAAAGAGGGTTCTGACGAGATGGCTCAGAGGGAAAGGTGTTGGTGCTGAGGCAGACAATTAAGTTAGAAATCAGGAACCCATACGGTAGAAGGAACGAAGCAACTCCTTCAAGCTGTCTTCTGACTTACACATAAATAATGTACACAAACACTCATTCAGCTGGGGATGCAGCTCCGTGGTAGAGGATTTGCCTGGTGTGTGCCTGGTTCTGGGCTCAACTGCCAGCACTTCACAACAAAAAGCGAAGAGTCATTCAAAATTGATCAACATGTAGGAGCTGGAACTATGAAGCATCCAAAAGAAGACATAGGATGAAATAAAGCACAGGGTGAAAACTTCTTGATGTTGGATATGGCAACGTTCTAGAATGTAACTCAAAAAGTACAGCTACACTAGTCAAAAGTGAAAACAGAGTGCACCCCATCAAAATGAAAAATTTTGCCCAGCAATAGATAGGAAAAGGAAAAGGAAACCTAAGAAGTGGAGGGAGTATTAAAATTATGTATTTGCTAACAGATTGGTGATCAAAGTACTCACACACATACATTACACACCATACTTTATGAAGCAGACAAATAACTCAAATGAACATTTCTCCAAAGAAGATATACAAAGAACTAATAATCACCTGAGAAAATGTTCAACATTACTAATCCTTAGAGAAATAATGTGTAAAATTACATGAGGTAACACTTTAATAATGAGAGTTACTGTTGACAAAGTTTGATATAAAGTTCTGGATAGTTGTGATGGTTGTACACAATATGAATATACTTAATGACCCTATATTGTTCACTCTAAAGAGGTTAAAAGTATTAATACACAATTATATACTTTTCTACAATAAACAGTGAAGAATGAAATGATCCGAAGGAAAATTAATGACCCACCAAAGCATCTTTCAAAACTACTTAGGGAAATACTAATAACAAAAAAAGAGTTAAGACATAACACAGAAAATGTCAAGCATCCAATCAAAATTTCCTAGACTTACAATGACTATGTGAAAATACAATCTATCACTTGGGGACAAACAAATCCAGAAATAATGATTATTATATAATGAGCAGACTAAGGCTTTAAAAAATACTGTTAAAATTTTGCTCAAGGATTTAAAAAAATGTGGGAATTTAAAGAAGAAAGAAATCAGGCACAAAAAAAGAGCCAAATGGAACACTTACAGATAAAAAAGACACAGAAATTCTGAAATGAAAAATTCACTAGATTGGGCAGAATGTAGTTTAGACATAGCAGAATTGAAGATGGATGAACTTTAAGACATCCACAGAAGGACTGTTCAAAATGATGAACAGAAAAGTTCACACAGAAAGTGAACAGAGCCTCAGTGGCCCATGTGACAGTCACAAGTGACTTAATATGTATTCACTGGAGCCCCAAAATGTGAGAGACTACCAAATTCAACTTTTACACCCTAAATCAATTAAACCTATAAAGTCATAGACCCATACAGCTTGAAAAAAAATCCCTGGAATAATTGCCATTTTAAAACTTGCTCCCAAAGCACTACAATTATTGAAAACCAAAATAAGCTCTTAAAAGCATCCAGTGAAGAAGAGGATGGTAAATAAAGGATTATGATGAAAAATCACTACTCACTCTCAACAGAAATGTCACAATCCAGAAGACAACATGACCACATTTAGAGCATTCTAAAAAAGGGCGGGGGGAAGGAGAGTGCCCTTTTAAAACTCCATGTCTGGGAAAAATGCATTTCCAAATGAGTGAGGGAGCACAGTATCTTTTTTTCTAAATACTTTGGAGCCTTTCCCAAAAATGGTTGTTTTCACTGACATGTCAGGAAAACATGTAATTAATATAACATTTGATGATGAGAGGCAGAGGAAAGAAGGGGAGAGGAGGGAGAAATAGAAGGAAAGAGGAATAGGACCATCATCAAAAGGTATTAGAACCAATCAAAAGG